CAGGAAAATGAGATTCCCGGTTCACATGTCAAAGATTTTAGTTTTGAGGGACTTGACAGCCTTGTAACAGGCATCCAAATCTTCAGGTTTGGAGAAGCTATAGAAGACCACCAAAAAAACAAGTCTGAGACAAAATAACAAATTTTTGGCAGAGTTTTGGGGGGTTTCCAGCTTTATTAATAGTCACCAGAAATGGCCACGATTGGGCTTTACCATGGGGTTCTGGACTGATCCAATAGCAACATTGGCAATATCCATAGGACGGGATTTGCTATTTCAAGGTGGCAAAAGCTCCCTGTGCTTGCTTCAAAAAAAGGTTTTCCACCACAAAAACATACATATCCATGATGACTTTTGCGGCTCAGCAAAGAGAAACGAGACCACCTCACGCCTCCTTCGCGAGGCATTTCCCTGACCCAGCAGGAACCCACAACCAGCGGTGTCTGAAGCAGCTGGGCAACAGCCAGCATCCCACAAGTAAAAGCCTCATCCCGCAATGGCAGCAGGGCCCTCGCACATCAACTACAAAGAGGGACGTTGACCCCTCCAGACCATCCCATGCTACAGGAATGGGGATCACAGGGTCAGCTCTTCCTCCTGGCACCTCAAAGTGCCAACAGCCCTTTCTTCATAGATGGCTTCTGTTGGACTTTGTGCTTCTCTACAGGCTTCAGAACTTCAGGCTTCTACACAGCTGCAGAAAGCCACGCTCGTCCCAAGCAGGAGGGAACGCAAATCACTCGCAACGCTGCTGTTTGCACAGGCAGTGGCTGCAAGCCCACGCCGTGGGGAGCAGCAGCAGCAAGGCACTCGGCGCAGCGCTTGGTGCGAACACCACCACCAGGAACGTGCTACGAAGGGGCTGCGGCAGCAATGAAGAAAGTTTTTTTTTGGTATAATGGCATGTAACGAGCTGGAGCTGAAGCCACTGTTGTCATAACCTTGCTGAAGGCAACGGAGTTACATTGGGGCCTGTGTTTTCAGTTGAGGAAACCTTCACCAAAGAGCAATGTTTCTATCTTTAGACAGTTTCCATTAATGTTTGCAAATGTTTTTACTCCTCAGAAGATTCAAGAAACCAGCGTTTGGCAGGTTTAGTGCACATGAGAAATAGCTTGCTGTGCCCTGAGCTGCAAGAGTCTCTCATTCGAAGGTGATAGATTCACAAGGGGGTTGCAGGACAAAACCTGGAGTTCTCATTTTCTCTGTCCTTTCCCTTCCCAGCTTCCCTCACACCAAACTCGGAGGACAATGATGTCTAGACAGTAACGCTGAGCATTGCTGTGCTTCATGATAGTCTAAGCTGTCACTTTATACGGTCCTCAGCACCGAAGGGTCTGAATGCCTAGGAGCACCTGATGAGTGCCAAGTAAGTTGTGATAACCAGCAGCCAGGGCTAATTGGTTTCCAGTGGCGAGCCCACTCTTTGCATGACTTTGGGGAGATGCAGTATGCCAAAACCCCTCTGGTACAAGCACTGAGCAAAGGCTCCCGTGAGCTGAGCAACGGCTGCAGAGCACGCAGATCTAGCACCAACCGACACAACATGCCCATGAAGGAAAGGAGAGTGCTATGGAACGTGATGACACTCACCTGCGCTGGGACACTTTTTTTTTACTTTTCAAGAAGTTTCTTTTCCTCCCCTGTGTACTGGATCCACTCACAGGGGAAAAGGGCAGCAGGGGCAGACTGAAGTGTCTTGTCCACCATGCACCCC